GGATACACGTGAGGCGGGGCTAAATGCCGAAATGGAAGAAATGAGGAATATGCATAATGCTGAAACTGAGGAAATGAAGAAGAGGCAATATGAGATGGAAGCACAAATGCGATAATTTTTTGCCTCACAATCGAATTGTTCTGTCCAAGAAGATGAAGAAGATGTTATATTAGCAGTGACGATGAATAACTTTTTTTTATTATTATTTATGATTATGACATGAATATCACGTGACACTTTTTTTTATTTATGTTTGTGACGTGAACATCGTTGACTAAATATTTATATATTTTAATAATTATAATTATTAAAAAATTTGATTTCTTTTAATCGAATATTATTTTAATTTTTACATTTTAATATTTATTAATTTTTTGATTCATTAATATCTATTAATTTTTACATTTTATTTTAAAATACATCATTGAAATGAAATTCATGTCACTAAAATTAAAACAGTTTTTTTTTTTTGTGATGTGAAAACCATGTCACTAATTAGTGACGTGGAAATCACGTGGGAACATCTCCAAATAGTATCGTGGTCTGTGACATGAAATTCATGTCAAGTTAAACTATCTGAAACGTAGATTAATATAATTGACGTCTGCAAGCTCGATTTTGAAATTTTCCGTTCACTGATTTTACACACAATTGAGATTTAATTTGACTGGTCTTCTTGTAAATCTGAGAAATTGTTCTGTGTGACATTTTAAGCACTATGCGAGATGAAATGCATTCTATGTTATGCAAAGTAAAAATAAAGTCAGATGCATGAAAAATTTTAAAATGCCCGGGAAAAATTGGAGTTTGACAGTTAGGATGCAGTGTAACCAGTCAAAATCTATCTACAGTCAACTAAAATTCAAAGACAAAATGAGATCCCATCAGATTCTTATTGGAATATGATGTTGGACGAACTAGTTAACTTAGATGAAGAAAGATTAAGGCCTTAGAGCTATTAAGCCATTCCAAAACCTCTTTTTTTTTTACAAATTGTTTTTCTTATATATTAACATGAAAAATTATTTTTCAAAAGTATCTAAACCCCAATTCCTTCCACAAAAACGTTCACAACTTAAGTTCCAGCTCTGACTCGCAACCCCAACCAACACACAACATCTACCATCAACAATTCCATCAAATGCATAATTCCAACAACAACACCATACAATTCACCATTCATTTATCAATACACCACTCACAATTAATCAAAATAATTGTTCAATCCAACAACCGCAAAATTACAACAATGGTCATACATAGAGGAAGATAAACACAACCAAGCATAGACGTAGTCTATCCACCATAATCATACAAACCCTTAGATAATAGGAACCCCACCCTTACCTTAGAGTTCTTGCAAAGTTTCTTCAACCTTTAGTAATGGGGATTCTTCCTAGCTTCTCCTTCCTTGCCTTAGCTCTCCATTTCTCTTTTCTCTTGTTTTCACGTTCTGACAAATTCTATCCCTCCACTTCCCTTATTTCTTTATTTTATTATTTTATTATTATAACTTAATCCAACTAATTAAATAATAATAATAATAATAATAATTATAATATTACTAATTTTCATCAATTATTTAATTTAAACAATACTCACCTAATATTATTTAATTAAATAATTATTAACTAATATTATTCCATTAGTCTTACTCACCACACCACCAAGTTCTACACTATTTCTCCCCCCCCCCCCCCCCCCCCACCCAACACCTTAATTCTATTCTTAAGGCCACTACCCCACACCAAAACCCCAATCAATACATATAGTCACACAACTTCACATAATTAAATTACGGAAAATCAAATAAAATAAATCAGGGTGTTACTGGATAGAATGACAAACTTCAGATATGAGCATAAAGGTCGTTGTGGTGTCCTTTGATCTTGTAGAGCATAAAAGTCCCTACTCCACTAAATTCGTGTAGTAGAAGGAATACTTTGATCTTGTACTAGGTATTATTTATCTTTCATCCAACAATCTATTCTTGTCATCTTCTAAGTATCAGACGCTTCTGAATGTAAATATTTGAAGCAATTTTAGAAGAGTCAAGGGCCTTATTGATAACCTTCAGAACTAAAGTCTTCATAGTCTTGACAATATTCCTCAAAACCTGGTCTTCAGAGTCTTCAGCATTTCGTTCATCAGAATCTTCAAGTCTTGAGCACATAGTCTTGAGTAATACAAAAGTTTCAGAGGCTCATTAGTTATAGTTAAGATCAGAGGCTTTAGCGTGAACGTTCTTTAGAACCTTTATCTAACAGATTTCTCGATCTTGACACTACTTGTTTCTCTTCACAGTTAGAGTGTGCTTAATTTAGAATCTGGTGACATCACTCGTCAATATTCAAAGTCAGAACCCATAAATTAAAAGCTACACACTTAATAGAAACAATTATTATACAAAATTATTCTCTAAGAGTCAATGTATTGTTATCTTCAAAATTAAAGGTCATACGCAAAACCAAATCTTGGTCTAACAGTTACCACTCCAAATATATCTATATTGTTTATTTTACCACCTCCTATAAAAGATCTGTTGTCATCATCAAAAAGGGAAAGAATATGAAACCTTTTTATGTAGGTGATATTCTTTTAACATGGAAATCAAATTTTCATGATGAAAACTAATGATAAGTCAAGCATAAACAATTAAATGGATAAAGATACAAACCTATCTTTAACATTTAATAAACCTATCAAGCCACTCAAACATTAGTCAACATAAAGAGTAATATTTGACAAAGTCTTGAAGCAATATGGTGATCTTCAAATTTAGTAATGAGTAAACAATTGTAAGGCAAAAGGACTTTATCATAAAAGCATATGGCTACAGCACACACATAAATATAAAACTATTTTGAAAAATTATTTCCAAAAGGTAATATTTTAAAAAACATCTAGAAGTTGTGACAGATGAACTGTGAGCAGTCAAAATAGCTATAGGTGATCTTTTTAGTTTTCTATGAAACGAATAGATTTCTTAAACTTCCTTTCTTAGAACTTTCAAACGATTATTTCTATCTGTTAACCAATTAGGAATAAGTGTAAATCAATAAGATTGTTACAAAATTCTTTTATTAAAACTTCTGTATTGAGCCAATATCATGCCTCTAAATAGAGGTTCCACTTCTCATTCCAAACCATCCAGAATTGTGTTTTGACACTTTTATCTCTCTCTCACACACACACACACGCACACACATACACACACACACACTCTCTCTAAACATTTCTTTAACTTTCTCTCACTATGTTTTTAGCTTAAGTGCTTTTGTGATATAAGTTCTTTTGTGAGTGAGATTATTGTTGTAATTCTGGAAAGGATAAAATTGTAAATTCACCAAGGGAATATTTCATATACACCTTGGTTGAATACTCTCCATTTAGGGATTTTTTTGAGTTAAAAGCTAAATTCATAAAAATATTTTTTGTTTGGGATTGTGTGATTTAGTCATAGTTTAGATTGGAGATCAACTCCTGATAAAATGTTCAAGATTCTTGGTCAGCCTGGTGTTAAAACCAAGATAAGTTAAAGCTCAGTCAAATATTAAAAGCTTAATAAGTTGGAGATCATTCCAGTGTTAAAATCTCTCAAATTTTTTGTTATCTGGTGAAAAACCAAATTATTAAGCTCAAAGGATTTATAACTTGAAGACTAGCCTCTCCAAGGTTCCTGTTTTTTGAGTAAGATTGGTCACTTAACTTTCAAGCTTATACTGAAGAAAAGACGCAAAGATCACTCATATCTATCGTCTTGCATTTCTTGGTTGAAGATCAACCACCATTCCTTATATAAGACGGTCGTGAGCCTTTTCTACTAAAAGCTCTCAATGTTTAATGGAAACTCTCAAAATTAATTCTTGAGTACAAGACTAAATCATTTTTGACTGAACATGTATAACTTTTGGTATTGCTCCCTCTTCTCTTTATTTCATTTATTTCCGCAATTTATTTCTTCATTTTACTTCTAAGTTTTCAAAATATTTTCAAACTCTTATTTTATTTCTAAAAGCTTTTCAAATTCAAGTTTTTCCAAACCACACAAATTACTCTCCCCCCTTTGAGTGTGAAGTCTCAATTCCAAAAAATTTCACCATTGATATGATCCTCTAAAGGACCACATACATTATAATATACTATTTTTAGTATGTCGGAGAATCTCATTGGCATAGTCGAAATAATTTTTTTATAGATTGCTTCCCTACCAAGTACTAACTTTAGCTTAATTTCTCATTTTCTTATCAATACATTTAATTAGACATTATTAAATATTTACTTTCAAATTGATTGCAATATTATCTTACTTGCAATACATCTTTTAAATTTGAACTTTAAATTTGTCAACTTGAAATAATAAAGATAAAATTCGAGAATGATCATCAAAATTCATTTTAGTCGATATATAATATTAACATATAATTTTTTTAGCTTTGTCAATCAATTATAACCGTTAGATATTTCAATATGTTTGACTTTTATGTGAGAGAGAGAGAGAGATATTTTAATATATAACCAACCATTGATCTTATTAATATTAGGCAACATTACATAAACACACCCCAAAATGAAACATCACATAAAAGCACATATAATAGGTACTTAACAACTTAATGATACTCTTAAATAATAGGAAGGTAACTTTGGCAAAACCGCAGACCTAGTTCCTCTTATTATTCTCATTCATAGTAGCTATAATATTGGAGTATATAACTTCTTGTCGAAGATCCATCATTCATAACATTCCACCTTACCTTATACTGCAATAAAAAAAAATACCGAGATCATTATTGATATAAACAAAACAGCCAATCTAAATCTTATTTGCATGGTGTATGCATGCAACAACTTTTTGCATTAAACATGAAATAATCTTTTTGCACCTTCTGATCTAAATTTTTTGAAAATATTTAAAGGTGGATTTATAACATTTATAATAAAAATGAATTTTATTATAATAAAATGTGAAATATAAATATTTTATTTTACTAAAAATATTAAACCATGTACCTAGCACAGTTGGTGGAAGCACTGATCTTGTAAGGGATATTAACCCCACACTTGCCGGGGAGTGCAGCAGCATAGCCTACATTGATTCTTTTGAGAGATACAGCAGCTGACTTCAAGCAAGCACAAGTTGCGCGGCGGTCAGCCGTGGTCCTGGCCGCCTTAACTAACCCTCTAATACCATAACAACAACGCGGCGAAACATAACCACCATTCTGAACATAACTTAAGCATGGCACAAGGTTATTTGAGATTCGGCCACATGGAACTGCGTCACCATTTTGCGCATACATCAAAGCCATGAACATTATAATAACAGATGCTAACTTGAAGTAACCCATTAGTAGTGAGAAATTAAATGGTTGAATAAATAAATGCTTTGTTGCTTTTAGGTGTGAGTTAAAAGGCATGATGGTGGGGGGTTTATATAGTGATTTTGAAGAGTGTTGTTGAGTTTGGTGGTTGTGTCTCATTTAATGGGGGACACCCTAGACTTTTATGTGACACTTTGGACATGCTCTCTTTAAAGAGGCAGCACCCAATGGAGTTTTTTATTTCAAAGTCAACTTTAACGTTATTGTGAAAACCTCTGTATAACTTATATTGATTTTTAATAGAAATTAATTGTTATTTCTGGTTAGTGTAAAAGGTTTTATATAGTTAATGTATCATTAGTTTTTATTATTTTTTAAATTATTAAAATAAAAGTCAAATTTTTTAATAAAATCAGCTATCGTAATTAATTGACTGTATAAAAAATTTTTACACTACTGATGGTGTATATTAATTAAATTTTTTTGATGTTAAAATATTAAGATTGGGGAGGTACACTTAAATGGAAGGTTAAAGAGAAAAATGAATTTCATTTAGTTTTTTTTTAAAATAAAATTTATAAGTTAATTCATAAACACGGTTATAATAAAGAGTTTTTAATTTAAAAATATTTGATTTTTATTATTAGTTATTTTATAATCCTGTCTATGAATGATTATAATTTGTTGAAAAAGTAAAACTTTCATCTATGATACATGTGCACTTTATATATATTTTTGTGCTGCACAAATTCAAAAAAAGAGTAAAATATTATTAAAAATATATATTTAGCTTATATAATATGGTATATGTGTTTGTTTCTGTTTTTTTTAATGTAGCATACACAGAGAACTAAACTCAAACTTATATATAATCTATAAATCGCATAATTTAAAATTTTCAAAAAAATGTCTAATAGCTAAAAAAAAATGACATTTAACAAAAGTGAATTTTTTTATCGAAGTAATTCAATTTTTTAAATAAACATCTAAAATATCCTACATTTCAAAAATTCCCAAAATACCCCAGTTAGGATTTCTGTTTACCCAAGGGCGGCATTGCAATTGGCGACTCTTGTCGCTACTCAAAAATGCAACGACGGAGAGGCGAGAATGGAAAGACATAAGAGTCGCCACCGAACTTTTTTTATCCCATGAGGGGAAGGGAAAACATCGAAAAAAACCTAAGAAAGAAACAAATAAGATGGTCTCGCAACTAAGAGAACAGGTTCAAAAGCCGGTTATGCGAAGGGAAGGTATTAACACCCCTCGCATCCATCGTACTCGATGGGAACCATTTGTTTGTCTATGTGTGAAGGTATTTGCTAAAAAATATTGCTTTCTAAGAGTGTTCCAAGGGGAGAGAGAAAGGTTGGAAACAGGGAAAAGAGAGATAAAAGGGGGAAAAGACACTCGGTAGGACCTCACGGTCCTATGCCTACGTATTCTCAATGGGTATGAGAAAGTCAGAGTCAACGTAGTTCGGGGAACCACGAAAAAAAGACAGGAGAGTGCTCGGCAAGGATTGGGGCCCTTGTGCCTACGTATCTTCACTTAAAAGAAGTAAAGAATCAGAGCAGTCGTAGTTCGGCCTACGGTTTACTGGTGTTTTTGGTGGATGATGCTAACGTACGCATTCTAGCAGTTAGGTGTATTGCAGCTCACTTGTGGAGTCTTAGGCATTACCTGTTTGCGGTAGAACGGATGTAGCATGTCCTTTTGAAAAGAGAGTTTTTGCCATCGAGGTAAGATGTCACATTTGGTTTGTGAAAGTTATTTTTAGGGATGAAATAAGTCCTTAGATAGTAACCCCTTACGGGTAGTACCCAATTCTTTATCTCAAAAGAATTATTGTGAAAGCGGTGTGGTGAATATAGTCACATCTTCGTATTGAAAGACGAGTACCGAGACCACACACTCTACAGTGAGTATCCTGATACTCGGAGAGGAAGAAGTCTGCACTCAATTCTATCTCTTTAGTTCAATATAAAGAGAACTTCATTCTCTTATTAAAGATGTTTTGATCTTGAATGGTAAGTGCTTTGTGACAGTGAACCCTAAAGGTAATGTCAAGCACTCGATATAGGAGAAGGCCTACGCCTAACCATTCCATAACCATTCATGTTTTATTAGGAAAAGAATTTTGAAAGTGCACTTGGTACGAGACCAAGGTTTTTAGACTTACAGAGAAAGATTTTGAAAAGCAGTTTTGAAAAAAGAAAGTGGTGAATAGAACAAGGTAGGTTGATGGTGATGCGCGAAGCAATCGACTTACAAGGGTTGAAAACATATGAGGTTAGTGGTTTGAGGGAAGAGAGGTAAAATTAGGAGGAGAAACCCTAAGGTGGTTTAATTTGAGATGAGTTTGAAAATGGCTTGACATTAAATCAAACCTCGTTTGTTCTTTATTTTGAAAGCGTGTTCTAACCTAATTCATTTTTATCTTTCTTAACAAAATGCAAGCAAGCATGAAAAGAACTAAACTATTACACTGTAACGGGAGAGAGATACATACAAAATACAAGGGATTACGAGAAATAAATGGTCTCATTGTCAGGTAGCCCAAGAGAAAGCCGTATGTGTGCGAGGTGTCCTAAACTAAGCAACAGAGAAGAATTCAAACAAAATATCCAAACTAGGGTTTATGTACAAAGTCTAACCTTCAATGCCTAAGATAATGATCAACAGTCCACCAACTTAAGTTTTTTAGGATTTCGATAGTTTTATCATGTTTCTGGTATTTTGAATGAAATAAAGACAAAATGGGTTAGATGACAGTATATGTAGTATGACAGGATGGAATATGAACAATGATGATAAGATGAGCGAGATAATAAACAAGATAATATCAACAATAATATAAACGGAGAATATGTGCAAGAATATATAAATAGTGATATATTAACAGAAATATAAATCAATTATATTGAACAAAAATAAAGTCAGAGGTTAAAGATTAATTAAACGAATCAGGTTAAAATGAGTGGGATCTCGTCTTAATCATAAACTCGTGTCAATTAATCGAAGGTAATATCTCACAATTCCAAAGTATAGGAAAATGATCCAAATGATCATTTTCTACAAATTTGAAATAATGAAGATTACCGACTTCGATAAGTTGACGTTTACGAATGTAAAGACTTCATTGACCGATAAAATGGAATAAAATCGAGATGAATTTGAAAAGAAGGTTAAACCTCGTCTTAATCGCAAGCCTTATGTTAGTTAATCGAAGGGAACCTCTCACGATCTCAAAGTATAGAAAAATGATCCAAATGACCATTTTCTATAGATTCGGAAATTATTGTTTGCGAATCCAAGACTTCATCGGTTCGAAAAATAAAATAAAATAAAAAATGAGAAAGAAAGTGAAAAGTGAAAAAAGTGGGTGGTCTCAGATGAATTATTATCTATCAATAATTTGACCGGTAATAACTTATGGAGGTCTCGTCATTGACCGAAAATGAAATCGGAAACAAACTCCAAGACAAAATTAAGGTAAAAATAGTAAAATCGAGAGTGCTTTAATAATATTAAAAAATAAATGCTGAACTAATTATTTGGTAAGGTAGTTTAACAACAAAAAATCTAATAAAAACTAAAGAAAATCGCAAAAAAAAGGAGGGGTGCATTCGTATGAAGGTGTATGAACAAAAATTTGTGGAATCATTTGGGCCTAGCAGCCCATCCTCCACCAAAAATGGTAGGCACGACAGAAAAAACATGGGCCATCTGGCCCAGACCATTTATGCCCCTCAAACTAATGCATTGGTGCTAAAACCAAGAGAAAGGGAAATGCAGATTCCTTCCTCAATGTTACGACTTCCACCAGTAATGGTACAGCTCGTCAGATTCAACATAGAAACAAGTCCAAACAAACACAAAAATAAAAATCGTACTCTTCTTCTCAATAACAAGTTGGAAATATCAAATCGAGATGAAAACAGTCGGTCCGACCTTCTTTGCCACAAAATCAGTTTCTCACTTCCGTCTCAAATCCTGCTCTCTGCTTCGAAAGGGTGGTTTTGATCTTGATTTAATTCATCGCATCTCCTTCTATTTCAAATTCGTATTCTGCGATCTAATTTGTGTTTGGATTTACATGTTGTGAAGAAGAAAGGTTTATATGGGTTTGTGTTGTTGATGATTTTCGGATGATGAAGATTCTGTGTTTGGGTTGAGGAGGAAGAGGATTGGGGTTTTTGAAAATAAGAATTGGTTGAAGCGTTTTCACCAATGAAGGTCTGGTTTCGACTCCCTTTCCTCTTCCTTTGGGAACGGTCCCCCTTTTCTTTTATATCTCCTCTCTGAATTTTTAAGGAGATGAAAACATCAATGCCCTCCTGTATCGTTCTGCGCTGGTACCCTTTTGGTTGAGTCACAAAGTTGCTTTTTTCATAGCAGGTGTTGTTGTTCCTTTTTTGGGTGTAGTGGGAATCGGTGGCCTTTATGCTTCAGCAGGTTGGTACGGTTTATGGTAGCAGATTATTGTTTTGGTGCATGTTAAGCTTCCGTAAGTGTGGTCCTTGTACGATTTCCTGGTAGTAGAGGTTTTGTGCTAGCTAGCATGCGGCTTATAATAATAGGTTGTTGTTTTTGTGCAGGTTTTGTGTTCTTCATTTTCTGATTTCTTTGCAATATGTTTGATTATGTACGTTGTCGCAACTGCGAAAAACCACCGGCGGAAAAACAGAAGAGTTGCCAATTTCGTTATTTATCCCAAAGAGAGGGAAAGGAAACGATCGGAAAAACCTAAATAAAAAGGGAAAGACAAGGTCATCGCAACCATGTCTGGATTCGGGAGTCGGTTACGCAAGGAGAAGGTATTAGCACCCCTCACGTCCATCATACTCGACGGGATACATGCATTGTTGTCTATCTAAAAGGGTGTGTTGAAACTATCTAGCTAAAGGCTTAAGGACAAAAGAAAAAAGAAAAGAGAAATGACTCGGCAGAGCGTCGCCACTCTGTGCCTACGTACTCCCTCGTGCAATGGGAAAGTCAGAGTGAACGTAGTTCGGCTAACTACG